GGCAGGTAGGCCTTCTCCAGCATTTCAATGCATGCATTTGAAGAGGGGATTCTAAGCCAGTGAGAGTGCATTTCAACGCTTCTGGTTTAAATTGATTTAACTCCCTTTTCCAATGGAATGTCAGGGCCCAAGAATCCACAGCATCTCACCAAACTACAGTTCCTGTGGTCCTTTGGGCGGGGGGACTGACTCAGGAGGTGAATAGGCTGGCAGTGCCGCTGACTGGGACAGGGAGTGAAATTAGCTCAGGAGCACCTCAGTCTTCTCATTGCTTCCTTGAACCCACCTCCACCCTTTGGGCTCCATTTCTGCCCCCTCCATCCCCTCGACATCACTCCTGCTTGATGCCAACTGCTGCCGCCACCATGGCCATGCCCCGCATTCGCTTTCCTTGGTGGGTCTTGACATGCTTTGCTAGGTGGTCGCTCCGCATAAACCTCTTGGGGCACAGCTGGCAGCCGAAGCGCTTCTCGCCCGTGTGCGTCCGAAGGTGCCTTTGCAGCTCATCCGAGCGGGTGAAGCTTTTCCCACAGTAGAGCCAGGAGCAGATGAAGGGGCGTTCGCCCGCGTGCCAGCGGAGGTGGGCCTTCAGGTGGGACGTTTTGCCATAGACCTTGCCACAGCCTGGCAGGTGGCAGATGTGTTGCTTCTTTCTGCCTGGCTCCTCGCTGGCTCCATTCACTGCCTGGCAGTTGGGGCACTTGCAGCGGCGGCAGCGGCGAGTGGTACCCAGGAGCCCCTTGGGAGTGCCCTGCAGGAGAGCAGCAAGAGGGGGCTGGGGGCTTAGGACCAGCGGCCGGCCCAGAGAGAAGTTGCCTGGTTGCTGCAGGCTCCACCAGGGGCCATCATCGGTGGAGGTGGTTCCTGGAGGAGGAGCTGGGCCCAAAGGCCGGGGCCCTTGCAAAAAGCTAGAGAAGTCCTGGGCCTCTGGGAAGGCATAAGAGTGGTGGCATTGGTGGGGTGCCAGCATCTTGACAGGCGACAGCTCAAAGGAGTAGGTGGCTCAGCTGGCGGAGTCAGGGGCAGTTCATGGGCAGCCGCCACTGCTCGCTGGCCCTTGCCCGTGGTAGGGAACCTTGGGCAGCCCAAAAGCCATGGTTGTGTGTGAGCCTGATGGGACCTCATTGCTCCAGAGTTGGAACATCCCCACAGATTCATAAGCTCCTGAACTGCTTGCTGATAAATGGGGAGCAGTGGGCACTGCTGCAAAAGTCAAGCTGGGGTGGCAGGCAGTAGCGTCCTCTGGAGGGGAGTTGCAGGTCCAGTCCTGAAGCAGAGAGAAGGAAAAAGGACTGAGCAACAACACTGATTTCAATAATCCCTAATTCCTAAACATAATCGTTCTGGGCCCGAAACCCTGCTCAAGTAGACTACCTCATCTCCCATAAATGTCTCTTTGTTCCTGTTAGAAGTGTCTACATGGCTAGCAATACAGCAGGGATGGGGAACAAAGAACCAGCCATGTTGGCTGGAACTGGTGGGAGTTGGATTGCAAGGACCATCTGTATGGAATCAGGTTCCCCATTCCAGCACTACAATGGTAACTGCATTCACACACACACACAGAGAGAGAGATCTCCACTGCTTCAGGAGTGCTATGTGACATTGAGCTTGCATTAGCTGTCAGAAGAAAGGAGTTGTCAAGCTCCAGGCTTTGTTCAGCAGCTGCTACAACAGGAACTGTGACTGGGCATTCATTCCTGACCCTCACCTGCCCATATGGGGCAAAGCAGATACTGAACAGATGCACCACGAAGGCAGGGCACCTGGGAATATTCTAAGAACATAATACAGATGCTCGTGTACCACAGGTGGCAGGGGACTGGTTTCAGAAGTGCAACCAGTTCATAAGTGTGCTATTCACTTTTGGTACTGGCTCTCGTACAGGAATATGTCTACAAACAAAAGCTATTCTAGAGTAGTACCTTTCCTTAGGATCAGCCAAAATGTTACCAAATAAATGAACAAGCTTTCGAGTTCTCCCAAAACTCTTCTTCAGGCTGGATGCCAATCAAACAAACAAAATAGAGAAGAAGTACAGCATCGATAAAATGCTTTGGCTGTCTTACAAAAAGAAAAAAAGAAAACCCACAGAAAAAATCAATTGCACACACACAAAAATACAAAATATAACAAAACAAAAAACATAAGGAAAGCTTCCTAGCAGAGCTTGGAAGAAAATGATGACCACAGAACTTCTCCTGTGTGCTATATAATAATGTCAACAGGCTGCACTCTTTGGAGTTTAACACAATGCCCTACCCTCCCTCCCTCCCTCCCTCCCTGCCCCCACCGAATTTTGGCTAATATCCAGTCTGAATATTGGAGAACTCCAAATGTTTCTGATGACTTTTTGGTATTTTGACCCGACCTTATAAAGGTATTACCCTACAGTAGATTTTGGGATTTTTGCTCCTGGACCAACACAGCTATCTACAATTTTTGTATTTTTACAACTAGTATTTCTGATTATTACCAGAATGTTACTTCCAGCGGATTCTTACAACTGTGTTTCAGGTTAAATTTTCCTAACTCCACAGACATTCCTCCCTGCAAGTTTATATGGGAACAAAGGGTTACTATTTCACTTGCACTATCTGGAGCCAGAATAATCTTCCCAGCTCCTTCCTCTCCTAAACAGAAGCAATATGAAGCCGCCTTGTGCACAGTCAGTCCCTTGGTCTATTGAGCTCAGTGCTGCCTACACGGACTGGCAGTGGCTCGCCAGGGTTTTGGCCAGGAGTCTTTGTGTTTGAAAAGATATTTATTAAGATTTTACAGAATGAAAAAAGAAAAAAAGAAAAATACAGAATAAAAATAGTTAAAAAACAATTCCATCTTTCCATCACTTATTTTTCATTTGCTTGTTTCCCAGACCTCCTCACACCTCCCTTTTTTGTATTCCAATTCAATTTATTAGTTCAGCAAATCCTTTCCCTCTTTGTTTATCCTAGTCTTTAATCTTAAAATATTATAACATTAAATTTTTACCTGTTAATAATCCATTTTTTCATATTCCTTATAGCGTTATAGCTAAAAA